GCCATTATACAGGTTTTAGTCTCAATTAATGAATAGTATCTGCATTATTTAACATTATATGAAAAGTTCACACCAATTACATAGACCGGTTTTTTACAAAATCATACTAACCAAATATATAATTTGTTTGTTAAGAAATCTAAAATTTATACTAGCAAGTAAGATCCCTTAATATTTCTAATTTAGTACAACTACACAAGGCCACTACTTATTAGCTATTACGGCCATTATAGCCATTACACCCACTACAACCATCACACCCATTATAACCATTACACCTATTATAACAATTATATCTATTACGACTATTACACCTTTTATGGCAAATCATTACAACTTTAAGGTAAAAGGTTGCAACTTTACAACTTGGTTAAACCTATTATGGCATGCAACCTTAAGTGAGACAATTCGAATAGTACCAAAATCATCCAATTTGGACTACTGGATCAAATTTTAAACAAATTTTTATAAAAAAATTACGTTATATTTTGGAGAACCCCTTTAAATATTGGAAAATCGTTATATTTTGGGGACCCTCCCCCCTCAAGCATAACGTTATTTATGGATGTCTCCTAAGCTAATATAAGCAGCTTAAATTACATATAAGTTACATATAAGTTATATATAAGTTATACAATAAAACCTTCCTAAATGCACCCTTCCTAAATACACATCTCTTTAAGTGCACACTATAGCCTGGTTCCAAGCTTGGGACTTAATGCTAAGTGTATCCTCCAACCTCTGCACATGCATAGGTTTTTACAGCCCGGACCTATATATATACTCTCTATAAATACACACATGTGATCAATATAAACATTCTACCAATTAAAATAGTAGTTTTGTTGAATATTCTCAGAGAGGTAGATAATAAATAAACTTAAAAGACGAGTATGGTTATTGAAAAAATTTGGAATACTGTTAATTGTTGTAGTAGAGTAGAAAAAATACTAATTCTATAAATTCACACCCTCTCTAAGTGTATGCTATAGCCTGGTCCCAAAGGCACGCACTTAGAGAGGTTTTACTATATATCAGATACTAACATTTTTGATTTTAACTAGTGTCACCTACCATTGTAATTTCAATAGTATTAACAATTTAACTATTTAATTGTTCAGATAAAGTTTTACCAAACCACCTTTAAAAACCTAATGTTTCAAGTATATAAAAAACTATCTGAAATTAGTTAGAAACTTTAGTGCTTATATTTTACTATACTTTACTATTTTCTACTTAAAAAACATCTCTAAGTGAAGTATACTTAATAGAGTAGTACTTGAAGCTTTGTCTGTGAAAAACCTTTTACTGTACAGTATTATAAATGATAATTATATTTTTGTAAAAAAAAAAATTTACCACATAAATTCAATTACATAAAGTTGAGAAAACCTATATCTGTATATATTAAAGTAACAGCTCAGCTTGGCTTGAGGTTGATTGGCTTGTAAACAGCTTGGTGTGCTGAAAGATCAGCTCGGCTTGATTAATGTTAGCCATGAGCCAAGCTATTCGCATCACTAATTCTGCAGCAGTGTTGTATATTTTCATTGTCCAAAAATTTTTGAGTGAAGATTTCTCGTTAATCACTAGTTTAAAATTTAATTAAATTTTTTTTATTTTAATTCTACAAATATATAAAGTTAAATAAAAAAAATTTTATCGAATTTGATTAGATATTTATCAAAAAAACTTCTCTCAAAAATATTTGGACAATGAAAATGTACAACACTGAAGTACTAATTAATCAAATCTATACGCAAATAAGATACCTATAGAATACAATTCGGATTCATATCAGCATTCAAGACATATTGGCAAAATGATAGCTCAATAGGTAAATCGATAGAGCTTATCTTATAGCTCTATCGATTTACCTATTTATTGAGCTATTGTTTTGCCAATATGTCTTGAATGCTGACATGAATCCGAATTATATCCTATAGGTATTTTATTTGTGCCAAATATCTGTTTCAAATTGGGTTCATATCAGGATCTTGTGATGCCGATTTGAACCCAATTTGCCCTGTGATAAACCTCATGTACTGATTGATAATCACTGTTTTTAGACAAGTCATTGTGACAACAAAATTTCAATTTAGGCAAGTTTTGGATTTTTATTTACGACATTTTCAAGTTTATCTTTTTAATGCCTTGCATTTAAGTTGGTCATATTTGAAAACATCTGAGTATATAAAAATTTACACGATTTGATGCAAAAATTGCATAATAGCAGATAGATGATCCATAGTGAGAAGTTTTGTAAAAAATTTTTATAGTAATCATGAAAGAAATCATGAAAACTTCAATGTAAACTTATCTTAACCACATATTATAGTTACCAGAATACAAGTTCTGTAATAGTAAGTCACGATAAAGTCCTATAGCAGAATTTTTTACAGTAACATTTTAATGCAAACTAACTAAACCTTAATTAACTACATATTACGTGTCGCTTAAAAAATTTTTTACAATAATTTACATTAAACCACGGTAGAAATTACAATAACTCTAATATAACTTTTCAATAAAGCCAATAACAGAATTTTTTACAATAAATCATAATAGAAGATATGATAACTCTAATGCAAACCAAAAATACTAAATAAGATAGGTAATATGAAGCACCAACTTTCTATATAAAAAGGGCATGCCTGTGGCATGAGGGCACGCCGTGACTTAGGGCATGCTCTCAAAGGTATGCCAAATTTTTTATCCGTGCCTTGAACCCTAATAGTAACTGATAAAATCACATACATACCATACTGATCGTAATACTGAAACTTAAAATATTCATTTTTGATTTTATACTGATTTGCTAATACAGTCGACTCTGGATATAACGAACCTTTTTATAACGAACACACTATATAACGAACTTTTTTTTTCAAATTTAATATAAGTTCGGTATATAAAATATAGTAAATTACTATATAATGAACTTTTAAAAAATTTTTACTATAAGACTCGTCAGTTCGTTATAAACAGAGTTGACTGTATATATATATTTAACATAGTAACAGAGCAGTATTGTATGGTTTGATAAAACACTGATCTGGTCAGTCGTTCAATCGAATGTTCGAATATAAATTTTTCACCAAATAATTCATTGAATATTCAATGAATATATACTAACTAATCGGTCAATAAAATGCAAGGTTGGGTGTCATATGTCATGTCCTATTTTATATACTGATTGGTTAGCAATACTAATAATCATGGACCCAAAGTAGATGAACAAGATAAATCCTTATTAGCTAGAAGTTTTCTCTATTGATTTATTTATTTAATGTAGCTTTTAAGTATAAAATTCATTGGTTAACTTGTGTATTTAAACTCTCAATTATTCAACTTCATATATTGCAGTATTAGGGGGTTTCAAAGTTAACAAATAAGTGACGCATTTCGAAAATAAATAGGATTTTTTCAATAGCATTTTTACTATGCCGAATTATAAATCGGAAAAATAAAATGAGTTTCTCTGATTTTAACTTTGAAACCCCCTATTGTCTTAATTCCGAATTAACAACTCTATTTCATGATCATCAATATTCGATGAATATCGAATATTAAAAAGATTGAACGAATGAATATTCGAATACTTAATTTTTCGACCGGATCAGACCTCTACTGACCTAAAGGCTATCTATCAGTCTACTGGTCTTGGGTTCAAGCAAAAGGCCTGGTTAGTTGTCATCCCTGCTCTAAATTAAATCACAATAAATGCATATATAATCATTTTTGCAGTAAAAAATATTGCTTTTTTTATATATATACAATGCTAACCTTTCATTATAAGTTATAATTTTAAAAAATAATTTATTCATAACCTACATAATAAGATCATTGTTTGATATGAAAAACTTTCACACTCCCCATAGTAAGAATTAATATGATATCTTTATAAATTATACATATTTAAAGTTTTTTAGAGAACATAAAAAAAACCATAAAAAGTGACCTGTCATTAAGCATAAAAAAGATTTATATTTTGTGACTTAAAAAAGCAAATTTACATTTCTTATCCTACTTCTCCAAACCAGAAGCTATAAAATTTCTATCTTAAACGATAGTCCTACATAAAACAATAGCAAAGTTAATACTTTGAATTTTCAAAACCAATCTTGGTAATTCATGATCGGTATAACCTGGCACAAAACTGACGTGCCTATTTGCTAACCTTTTTTGATATCAGATATACAGTATAAACATTGTATAACATATGTGAGATTAATAATGTCATTATCAAAATAAATCGATTGGAGAATTATTTTGTAAAATTGGGTCGTACAGTCTTTGTACGAGGGTTAATCATAAAACTATTCCCTAAAATTTTTTTTACAATCTAAAAAACTTGACGAACGTGTGTATATTTTAAATATGGTAGACATTGCATTAAATATCGCGGATGAATATATCCTTGATGGCATTTACGCTCGCTTTTATCCAATTTCAATTACAGATAATAGTACTACAACAATTTTGCAGAGTTCACTTCCACGTGATAATATTTACCGACAATTCATATCAATTTTTGCTTTAACAAATTTTTTCGCATACTTTTTTTATTTTTTCTTTTCCACCTTATCTTATATTTTTGTATTTGACAAAGAATTAATGAAACATCCTAAATTTTTGAAAAATCAAATACGTAAAGAAATAACACTTTCTGTTACAGGATTTCCACTCACTAGTTTAGTAACTGTTCCTTGGTTTCTTGGGGAAGTTCGAGGATATTCAAAACTATATGATGATATTAATGATTACGGATTTTTGTATGGAATATTTTCAATTATACTATATTTATTCTTTACCGATATGTGTATTTATTGGATTCATCGATGGCTACACCATCCGTTAATTTATAAAAATTTGCATAAGGTACGTAACCTTATTTTTTATTATTAAAGATTGGCAAATTTTTAATTAACAATTTCTAACAAAATTTAAATGTTACGTATTGGTTATTTTTTTAGCCTCATCACCGTTGGATTAGTATGTTTCTTTTTTATGAATCTATATATATACACATATATATATATGTATACGTATATTTTATATACTAGTTATATCTCGGGCCGGTTAAAAAGTTATATCTCCAGTTTATCAAAATGGTTAAAAGCATTATCAGAGTCTGATAAACTTTATTAGTAGATTTTGAAGTTTGAATGAGAACGAATCTAAATCGGGATATAATTATTTAATTAAATAATTTTTAAAGTGTAATACTTGGTTCTAATCATCTACATTTTTTTTCATTATCATATATAGTTCCTACACCGTATTCATCTCATGCCTTCCATCCACTAGACGGATATGTGCAATCATGTCCGTATCACCTATTTGTCTATTTATTTCCTTTGCAAAAAATCATTTATATAGGTTTATTCGTGTTTGTTAATATATGGACAATCATGATTCATGATGGTAAAGTAAAGTTCTCGAAATTTTTATCTTGTTGCTATTATAACTTATATATATATATATATATTCATTCTGATGACTAATTAATTTTTCGATAATATAGGCGAATATTTATCATCCGGATCATTTATCAATGGTGCGGCGCATCATTCACTTCACCATTTGTATTTTAATTATAATTATGGTCAATATTTTACATTATGGGACAAAATTTGTGGAAGCCATCGATTTCCAAGTGAAGAACAATTTGATCCTAATAAGAAACGGGATCAGAAAGTTTGGATTAAACAAGCGATGGAAGTTGATAAATTTGATGAGAATGGAAAAGAAAAAGAGGAATGATTAAAACTAATGTAAGCATTATTTAAAAATTAATTTAATAGTGTATTTATATTGGATTGTATACTCTTTTAAAAACTTATTAAAATTCTCTTGAACTGTGACTAGAGAAAATGAATTATTAATTAGAAATATCAATATTAGCCACTTATTTGAGTTATTACATTTTCCTAATTATGCTTAAGAAATTATTAATAAATAAAATTTATCCTGTTTTAATTTTAAAAATTAACGCACCGTGATTAAATCTTTTTGATGCATTTTTTGGGGTTGAGTTAGGATTTTGGTTAAGATTAAGAATTGGATTATTAATAGAAGAGTATAAGGAGCTTAAAAATGGGTGCCCCAAATTTCATTTTAATCCAATTTCATTTTTGATAGATGCCCGTAATAATTAGTTTACATGACATAGCTTCATCTGATTTTTATATGTCACAGAAAAACTAAAATTCATTCATTTTCTCTGCTCGAATCAATTCCACCATTCTCAAAATTAGGTTGTACTTTGGTTTAAAAATAAAGCATAGGAAAAAAAAAAAAGGTTATAAAAACCAATTATTCGAAGTTTAATCGTAAATAAATGTTCAATTGCCTTTGAACGCTGTTGATAAATCATAATTTCGACTAAAGAAAAAATTAAAGGTTTACAATTGCAAAAGAGACGATCCCGATTTACACTAGTGGACTTATAACAAGTGCTATTGACCTAAAGAACCATCTTAAAGAAATTAAGTTTTAACTAACTTCTTACTCAAAATGCGTAATTCAATGTACAGTATTTTCTAATTTTTCATTAAGATATCTATACATTTACGTTTAAAATTTTGTGTGCTATAATCTTAACAAATAGACCAATTCCTAACTCTTACATGTATGGGGTTAGTAGTAATGGGACAAATCATTTTTAGTAACTTTTTAAAATTAAATTAGAACTACCAAACCAAATTTAACAAAATTTTTTTTTATTTTAATTCTATAGCTCTATATATAGAATTAAACCAAAAAAATTTTTATCAAATTTAGTTTGGAAGTTGAGATGTTTAATTTGAAGTTGTTTCATTTTCTATTAATTTTCCCCCACATACCTGTTGGCAAAAATCATTTATTTGAATAAAGATTAAATATGTTTTATTAAGAAGAGTAGCGAATTCGATTCTATAGAAACTTCCATTGATAAGTTTTTTACGAGCACGGAATTAATTATAAGCAAAAATATAAAGTCCCAGTGTAGAAATACATGAACCTAAAAACGATCCGAAATAATCCGAAGAATAAGAAACAACTCGGATGCAGAATATTCAAATTGTTATTATAACCAACGCTGAATTCATAAATTATAATGCACGGAACTAGCCGAGTTCATAATTTAAAGCACGGAAGTTACAGAATTTGATTTAATCACGGACGGAATCGACAATTTATCACCGCAGAAAATCATCTCCCCTGACAATATGGGTGGAAATTTTTAGTAGTGCTGTGACTATATAAAATTAGGTGATTATACTCATAAAAACTGATAAGTAACGGATCAATTTTGGATCATTCTGGGTTATTTTTAGCTAATCTGTTCGTTATACTGCTCATAAAAACTGATAAGTAACTGATAAGTAACTGATAAGTAACTCATAAGCAGTTTTACAATCACCGGCAAATAATCACTTAATATTTGTAATCACACTGTATCATATATATTATTGGCTCAAATCCTATTTAATCTCATCATTCAACTTAAATAATCACAACTAATCACAAAATTGAAGATTTCCTCCCATATACCAGGATATTAGAGTCAGACCACGTTATGTATATATCTTGATTTCAATTTTGTTTTCAAGACAATAGATGTGTCGCTAGGGATGCGCCTCAGCTAATAGTGACAAAAATTAATTGTTATTTAAGGGTAGGGTATCTCATGTGATCTGCAATATAATAAAATAACGGAAATGCTGCGGATTGTAGATCAAAACTAAAAATAGTAATTTTTATTTATTAGCCAATCAAATTAATCTATTTTTCATATGGGCCAATTTTTTTGATTTCTGTAGATCCTTGTCTATCAAAACACTCAAAATTGCCTTATTTGGGTT